TTTTTTTTTAGAAAACAAACAAACGGTTCCAATCCCAGTTAAATACAGAACTTGAAAAGTGTTCCAGAAAAAAAGTGCTGGCTAAATTACCTCTGCAAGAGAAACACAACACAGGCGGGTGAGACGCGCCGCGGCCACCCCGGCCCCACCGAGCCCCCCCCGCCACCGCCCCTTGGGGTCCCGGGGGACGGGGGAGCCCCCCGTGGGGATGGGGGACCCCCCCGTGGGGTGGCTCGGTGGCCCCGAGGGGACAACCGTGCCCCGTGGCCCCCGCGGCACCCGCCGTCCCCGCCGCCGCGGACCTACCCTGTAACAAAACCTCGTTGTCCGGTTGGCACGTCAGCTGACACTACAATGAGGTGACCGTAAAAGTGTCCTCGGGGTGTTGCTCTACCATTGGACCCAGAAACCCGCTCTTCTGGGTGGGGGCCATGACGGGGTGCCCTTGGGGTGCAAAACTGGGGTACCTGTAGTTGTCCTGCAGCTGCAGCATTGAGTCCCTCGGCACGGGGGAGATGTTCAAGTCACTGATGAGGGGACACGCGTACGGCCCGCGGTGGTGAGCCCGGGCCATCTCCAAGGGCTCCTTCTCGCCCTTGGAGGGGTGGCTGCCGCTCGGGCTGCCCAAGTGGGGGTTCACACACGAGGGGTCCGTCCTGCCCATGAAGTCTACGAGCATGCCGGCGGCCGCCTTGCCGTCGTACGAGGGGCTCCGGGTGCTGGCGTTGGGCGAGTACCAGTACGGGGGGTTTTTGCAGCTGGGCGAGTCGTAGTGCGGCTGCGGCATGGGCAGGTCGCGGCAGGCCATGTGCGGTGCGTGCGGCAGGGCGCCCGCCTGCAGCCCGTGCTTGAGCGAGTCGCAGGCGGGCAGCTTGCGCAGCTCGCCCGCCCGCAGCTCCTCCTTGAAGGCCAGCGTGGGCGAGCAGTTGGGCGAGAAGGCTTTCTGCAAGCCCGCCTCGAAGACCGTCTGCTGGCCGGCGGCCGCCAGCGGCGGCGGCAGCGCCGCAAAGTGTTTGCTCTCCAAATCCGCCTGCGCCAAGCCCGGCGAGTCGCTCTGGAAGCCTTGGCCGAAGGTCCCGTCGGAAGGGGTGGAGGGGTTCATGGAGTAGGGGCCGGCGTAGTCGCACGGGTCGCGCTCGCCCACGCCGAAGCCCCGCGACTGCGAGGGCAGGGGGGACATGCTGCTGTCCCCGCTGTAGTAGTCTAAGCCCAGGTCTGTGCTCTCTTGGAAGAGGGGGTTCACGGGCTGGGACTTGCTGGGGAATTTGGCCTTGCCCGTGCCCCTCTCCTTCTTGGAGGCGCAAGCCCCGCGGGAGCCCCGCGGCTGCCGGGGCCCCGTGCTCCTCTTGGAGGGGTACACGGAGGAGGACGAGGAGGACGAGGAGAAGTTCAGGTGGGACGTGTCGAACATGTCCACTTTCTTCCGCCGGCCCCGTCCGGGCTTGGAGTTGCTCTGGAAGAGGACGCTCTGGTTCCAGTTGTAGCCCGGGGCCGAGGACGCCTCGTTCCAGTCCATCATGAGCTTCTCCAGGCTGGACAGGCTGGACTGGCCCTCGCTGGACGAGGCCTCGCTGTTGGCGCGCCGGTAGCCGGACGGCTGGTTGAACTGGGTGCTGTCGGAGGAGGACTCGGAGAAGGTCTCCGAGACCGTCTGCTGCTTGGCCTTCTGCGGCGTGTAGTTGGAGATGTCGAGGATGACGTTGGGCTCGTTGAGGTGGCACTCGAAGCCCGGGTTGTAGAGCTGGCTGAAGGCCTCCGAGTTCCAGTCGAGGCCGCCGTAGCCCTGGCGGAAAGCCCACTGCGAGGCGCCGGGGAACTGCCGGCAGTTCTCGGGCGAGGGCTGGAAGGAGGCTGAGCCCTTGGGCACCATGTAGCCGCCGGGCGAGACGGTGCTGGCGCGGCTGTCGCAGCGCAGCGGCGTGTGCGCCGCGCTCGAGAACTGCCCGGCCTCGCCGCTGTTGAAGAAGGAGGCCTTGCCCAGCGGCAGGTTGGGGCCGGCCGTCTGCTGCGCGTAGCCGGCGCTGTGGGCGCTGCTGGGCGAGGACGGGAGGCTGCTGCCGCTGCCGTAGGCGAAGCTGCAGTCCTTGGCGCCGCCGCAGTCCTGCGCCGCCGCGTACGGCTTGCCCGGCGCGAACACGCTGGCGGGCGCCGCGCTCTGCGCCGCGCCGTAGCCGCCGTACGGC